GCCACCGGCCCGAGGGCCTCCCCCAAGAAGCCGGCAGGCGCCCTCTGCCGATGGCGATGGCGAGGTGCCTTTGTCAACCCCACGTCGGCGTCAGGAGCCCGATATACAGATGAGGACACCCAGCTCCACGCGGGCGAGAACGGGAGCAGAAACACGGACGACAGGTTAGTCCTCCCGGGGCGCAGACCGACGCCACCCTCCCAGCCCAGGAAGTCTGCCCACTCCACTGTCTTCTGCTTACCAGTCATCCCAACGGAGACCCCAGGAGATGTGACGCAGCCCGCAGTTCCTCATCCCTGTTCCCTCCCCACACTGCCGTCTTGGGTGAGGGACTCCCCTCCTCCAGGTTACCAGAACTATGGGGGAGGGTGCCTGCGTGCCACTCTGAGAGAGACCCCTGCTCAGATGACAGAGGCCAAAGGGGGAGAAGTCCCGTGAGCCCCATCACTTGGACATTTGGGTGCAGAAAGAGGACACCACAAACGGAAGGGTTCATTAGCAGAATAGCCCAGCACCCCACGGTGGAGAAGGCCACACCCAGGATGGACCCAGTTCTCTTCTAAAGACATGGAGGGGAGGGGCAGCCATGTTCCTGCCAGATACAAACTTACCCCTAACCCTAGCCTCCACCCCCCACCCCAGTCCTCCAGAGGAAGAGCAAGGGGCCCAGGAATGGAGGACGGAGGACGGTGAAGTGAGCTGAAAGCTGCAGAGAACAAGCACAGGCCCAGGGAGTCCTAGGAAATGAAAAAGGATAGAGGTAGGACCAGGACTGGGCAAAGTCAGGGAGGGGTCTTCTAGAAAGTAGGGTCAAAAGACCAGGAGACGGGAAGGAGAAGAATACAGAAGGTAGTCCAGAAGAAAGCCCAGTGTGCGCTAACAAGAGTTCCACACAGCAGTGCAACAGCGTCCCCAGTAAAGGACCTCAGACTCAAGTTGACCCTGTCCAGCACCTCAGGTGTGAAAAGGGCTGGAGGAATGTTAGGGTAGGGAGTTCACAGAGGAGGTAGGAGGAACGCAAAAGGAAACAGCCAGTCAAAGGGCAGTCAGGCCTCAGAAACAGAAAACCAGTTTTGCAACATTCTACCCATTGGGGGACAGAAAGAGGCTGGAGGAAGGAGTAAAGGGAAGCAAGGCAGACTGAAGGGTTCTGATAATAGACCCCCTCCCCTAAAAATGTACAAATAAAACTGGGAACATGCGCAGTTGGGCAGCTGGACACGTGAAGCACGCCTGATTGTACCCTGATATGCCCTACCAAAGGAACCTGACCTACAAGAAGGGCTCCTGAGCCGCCTTGCCTGAGCCAGCTCCTAACTCCATGGCACGTACTAGCGCTTCATAAATCTGCTTCCTGTGCTTGCTTGACCTGCGTGCGCCATTCAATTCTTCGTCTGCAGCGGCAAGACCTGATTCCTCTGAGATCACACGCCCTCTCCTGCAATTGTCTATGGTGGCCAGCCAGGAGGTACGCCTCTACTCCATTCCTTAGCTTCTTTGTCATTTTCATCTTCATTTCTGTTGAGTCTCTCTGCCAAAGATGCCAACTGAGGTGGTAGCTCTTGGTTTGGGCAACTCTCATATAGGACTAGAAGCCACCTCCGGAGTGACCTGCTAAGGCCCTAAGCCGTAGGGGTGCAAGACTCAACTTGTCTTCATCTCTCTTCTTTCACCCTATCTCCACTGGGTCTACTGACCACCATGAGTCAGCCAGGGTAGAACGGACGGTTCTTGGTAGGGCAACTCCCATATAGTACCGAAAGTCCCTCTGGTCCAACTCACTGAGGCCTTAAGCCCTTAAGGGTGGCAGGACCTTCTTTTTCTATGCTGCTTCATTTGTTGCCATCTTTTGCAGACACAGGTCAGACAGTTAAAAACCAGTAGAGTTCTGCCACTTGAACTCCCCCATGTGAGGGTACAATGGTCTTTGGAACAAGTCATTTAGGACTTGCTGGGCCCAAGACAAACCCAAGCATCAGATATTGCCTTAAAGTGACATGGGGTGGTTTCTCTATCTTGTCTGCTAGGCCATGGAATGGATTTTTCTGGGGGTACTCACCCTCAGTCCTTCCCATACCTGAGTTATTTTCATTCTGGAACCAAATGGGAGTTCCAAGAGAGATGACCACATCAAATGCTTACCTCTCAGGGAGGATCCAAAGATCTCTTCTGAGCCCAGCTTGAGTTAAACTATGGTTCCTTCATTCTCAAACACTCACTGTGTGTTCCCCCTCCAAGGTGAAACCAGAGGAAGAACAGGTCAGAGGGATCCTGGAGTCTCTCAGTCAAGCTGAAGACATTCAGTCAAAGAAATGGTCCTGGGAACCAAAAAGTACAGTGGAAGGCTAGGGACTCCCAGGCCACTGTCCCCGAGTTTAACCCACCGCCATGGGATGCCTCAGGTGGGATTTTAGCGCTAGGATGCTGTAGAGGCAAGGTGCACTCACCACAAGGATCCCAGAGTGTGCTGAGAAAGCCTGCCCGAGGTTGCTCCATCTGGCAGTTCTGACAGGGACAAATTGAATAGGGACAGGGAGCTTGTTCCCCGCAGCATTACCCACCACCTAGGGGGAGCCGCAGGACAGGGTTCTGAGCCTAGATTGTCTATTCCTTCCTCTTCTGTCTTTTTTTTTTAATATTTTTTATTCATACATTAAATCGCTACACATCATTTAGATCGTGAAGACACTTTACCCAGCATGTTACACCTCAGTCCAGCCCAGTTGGACCACCTTGTCCACAGATAGTAAACCTTCTCTGTGCCCCACAAGTGTCTTACCTCTCCATTTCTTTTCTTTTTTTTTTTTGAGAGGTTTTCGCTATAGGCTGCGTGCACTCGCCAGACAGAGAGAGAGAGACAGAAAGGGAGAAATCACCCCCCAGGGGGGATGGCCATGCCGCAATCCATTCTCCTCTCAGGATCTTGGGCATGCACGCACACACGCCCGGTGTGAGTTTTAAGCCACCGGGTCTGGGACACGAACCGCAGTCAACTACATGGGAGTCCAGCGACATAGCCATTACGCTAACTGCTGGTCGCCCCCCAGATTTCTTTTTCTTATAGGGGGCATGG